GGGGGGGGGGGGGGGGGAAGTAGAAGGACTTTGTAATATCTTTAAACCAGAATAACTCCAGAAAATTCAAATAAAGTTTGAAAAAGTAAAGTCACTCAAAGACTATGGCATTGGGTGCCACATGTGGCATGGCAGCCTCCATGTGTGGCAAACAGCAGATCAGGGAGGGGACAGGCAGCATAACAGCAGATAGGACAAGAAGCAGAAAGCAATGCTGCAAATCAGACAGGGAGCACAGGGCAGGGAGCAGATAGTGGAGCAACGGATCAGGCAGGGGAAGGAGATCAGAGTGGCACTAAGAAAGGTTATGGGGCTAATTTGTGGCACGCCTGCCAGAAAGGTAGCCCCCACTGAACTACACTAGAAGTTCAGATTATTCATCTCTAAATTTGTTTTGTTGTCTACTTCCAGAATTAGGAACAAATCTTCTTGATCTTAGATTCATAATTATTGCACAGTCCCACCTTACTAAACCTGAACAGCACACCAAAATTCACATGGCTACTGGTTTCTTTAGTGTCATACTCAGTACAGAAAGTAACATGCTTTGTCTCTTGGTGTGTTAACACTGTACGTACTGGTGACAGTACTTGTGCAGAGATCCATTGTGGTGCAAGTAAATCATTACACTGCCAAGAGCTGCCTCCTATGCTCAAAACTCATCTAACAACAACCATCTGGTACAGAGTGGTGCTAAAATATCATATTTAGAATGAACCAGTAAACCAGTGCACATGTACTACAGCCTGCAGGCAAACTGTCCAAACAAAATAATTTTTCCTAAGCAGATGATAACAATGGACTTCCAAAAATTCTTTGTAAGTTTGTTAAGTAATACTGTGTCATACAAAGCAGAATTAAATGCTATGCTGTGTGGAATGTGAGAGGTTGGCAGTGACATGGGGAGAGAGTTAAAGATGTTTGTGTGCTTGTAACTGTGATTTTTATAGAGAAATTCCATGTGAAAAGATGGCAGGATATGGCACAAGCTTTATGAACAAATATGTTACAATGGTGACTGTTTGGATGTGATTTTTTTATTTGCATATTCCTCAGTTCCTCACAGGGGATTCAATAGTAGGAGATGTTGCAACAACTATTGGTAAAATTCCTTAACTCTTTCTCTTCTACACTGTTAGTTAGAACTGCGGTTTAGTGAAGACCGTGGCTGTTCAACTGGTGGCTGAGGGGCTGCACGCAGCCTGTGAAGGGTTAGCATGCAGTCGCAACCCAGACCCTCCCCCTTTCTCTCTCTGGTTGCTGTTGCAGCTGGTGTCTCTAAGCTTCCCTCCTGGACTCCACCCGCCATCAACTTTTACTTCCGTCTCCTACCCAAAGGGAAGGAATGGGAATGGCACATCCTCTGGTGCCACAGGATCCCACAGCATAGTGCAGCAGTGTGGGGGGAAGGCACTACCCACATGTGCAGCACCCCCCTAGGGCAGCCCATGGACCCATAGCTTGCATTAGTGTGCCCCCCGTCATATGACTCGTATGTGCGTGTCCCCCAGGCACTTAGAAGTTGGACAGCCATGGTGCAGATTTACAACAGTGACTGTAGGAATAACATAACCTAAGATTCTGTGCCCAATTGCTTTCAAATTTCTGAAATTTTCATTCATTCAGGTTGACATTTTCTGTATCATTTAGAACAATACAGCATGTAAAGATGACACTGACACTTAAACAGACATTCTAGAGAGATGAAGGCTGATTAAATAATGTCTTACAAGTAGCTATTGACAGATTAATTGGGAGGAATTTTATTTTCAACAGTATAGAAAGGGTATGATGGATTTTAGTATGCCTTGTAAAAACAAGAACCTGAAAATCGTCAGATTTCCGAAACTATTGGCTATATACTTGGCTCAATGTGCTAAGCTGAGTGAGAGCCAAGAATAGTTGATTATATTTAATTTATTATTTATTTGTTCATAAAAAGAAGGAAAACATATCCACGAGTTGGAAAGCCAGACTCCTGTTCAAGGGGTTTGCAGTTTAAAACGAATGGTTAAGCGGAAAAAACAGCCAGTCAGGATAGGAAAGACACTGGTGAGGAAAGCAAAGAGAAACAACTGAAAACAAGGGGAAAGGAAAAACCTGTTCCAGGGAAAGTTTCCTCAGAAGATGACTTGATCACTATTTGTTAAACAAACTCAGAGAACAAACATGAAGCAGTACCTTTTTGCACTTAGCAGAGGTGAGAGTTTAGCAGAACAAGGATAACAAACAATCCAGCGAAGTTAGGTTTGAGGACAGCTCTGAAAAGGAAGAGACAATAGTTCTAAGCCATATGTACATCAGAAAAGAAGAATGGGGTTATAAGGAGGAGGGGAGACAAATTGTGTTAAAATAGTTAATGCAGAATCTTATTTTTGACAGAAATAGGTGCGTTTTCTATGCATTTTCTTATTAGATTTGACAAATCTGGACACTTTATTAGCACAGGTTCAAAGTAATAAAAGGAAGTTAATTTGATATTTTTTATTATTATTCTTAGTAGATATCAGTTTGGTTTCAACAATCCTATACTAGTTTGCACAAACTAGTCTGCACAAACTGATGTAAGAACTTTGTCATAGGGCTAGTGCTAGTGTGTTCTGAGATAATGTGTATGTGGAAACTTGGAAACGCTTACTTATACCTTAGACTAGCTTAAATACATGCTGTGAATTCATGCCTTTCATGACCAATAATTTACGGAAAAACATTACAAAGTGAATCAAAACTGACTGGGCATCAACCTATCAAGTCTCTGCTTAATCAAAGAGTTATTGAAAGAGTTATTGAAAGAGTTATTGAAAGAGTTATTGAAAGTTCTGGCTAAAGGCAGGTAACAGATGAGACAGTTTTTTGGTATGTCTTATCACTTAGCCTTGATTATCAATGTGGTCTTTAGGATTGCTGTACTTTCTGAAAAATATTTAAAGAGGTCAGGAGAGGCAGATATATCTGTATATTATGAGAACGTGTACACATTAATCCGACATGCGATAGAGTTTCAGGATCATGGATCAATCACTCTTCTTAGGAGCCTGATTGCTAAAGAGAACAGTGGGACAATGCGTATTAAAGACCATTTTTCAAGTAATGTAGATGAGACATTCTTTGAGGTTATAGGGTGAAAAAAGTAGTGATAGTAAATCAGTAAGTTAGACACACGACTGTAGTGCTGGAGAATACTCATCCAACAGTTATTAAGGTATTTAAGAATGAAGTGATTCAGATAAAAATATGCAAGGGCTTATTAAAATCTCCTACCCTATCTAAAGACTACAGGATTGCAAATGTTGTACAAGTACCTACTTGCCTTTTTAAAAAGGTGCTAGATGTGATCCTGTGAATTACAAGCTAGGAAGTCTGAGTTCATTACCAAAAGAATTGAGTAACACTTAAATGAACCTGATACGATAAGGACACATCAGCCTGCTTCTTTGAAGGGAAATCCTTGCTCTAATCTTTTCAAATCGTCTGAATGCAGACAAAGGAGAACCAAGCGATCACATTTATTTAGACTTTCAAAAAGCATTTTGGCACAAACTTCTTTCATTCACCATGACAGCCATCTCAGCTACATTGTTCGACTAGCCAAGTAATAAATTGCCTAAATAGGTGATCCTTGCATGAAGCAAGAGTTATGATTGCTCTCGAGAGAAAAGAACATGGAATTTGGGGTTTAGAGAGAAAACTTTCTATGAGCTATGGTGCATAGATAAAACAGACATGTTCTGGCTAAAAATACTTGTTCCCATTATCTCTTTGGAGGCAGTAGTTGTTAACAGGGTGATCATATACTTAGATGAAGCAAAATTATTTCTTTAAACACAAATAAGGAAAGTGTAGGATCTTACATTAAATTATCTTTTCTCTCTCTATAGACAGCAGCCTTTTCAGTTTGGATAGTACCTGGAACGATAAGATCACAAAATTGACTGTATTTCTCAGATGCTAATGTAGTATAAAGAAAAGGTCCTGTGGATGTGAATATCTTGAGACTATTTTACTATAATTGGGAAAGAAACAGAAGTTGTAAAAAATATATCAACTTCCAATCCAGGAAGAGCTAGACAAGAGAGAAATGTAAAATATTAAGAAACTCTGTAAACTGACCGGTACTTCAGTCAACATTTCATTCTGCTTAAAAGCTAATAACTTTATTATCTCTTGGGAACCATGTTTTATGGGGCAGAATATCAGTCAAGGAAGTGGAGCTGGAGTGAATACCTAGACATAATAATAATAAACTGATTAGTTCATTATTTTCTATGGCTATAAGTGTTACATCATATAAATAACAATTATAACATACACAGTACATGTTATATATATTATATTATGCAAGTCTATAATTAATATATATGATCACTTTAACTGTACCTAACTCTGTACAGAATATATAAAATATGATCCATGAGACAGGTTATGATCTCTCTTGCACCAGTGGTAATTTAGGGTAATTTCTGTGAAGTTGATAGAATGTTTGGGAATTTCACTAGTAAAAATGATATCAGAAACAGTCCCCCACGTCAAAAGTGTTAGTAAAGTCTAGATACATTACATATGCTGTTTCTTTCTGATACACAAAGCCTATTATCATGGCATAGAATGAAATTACGTTGGCTTGACATGACTTATTCTTGACAAATCCATGTTGACTATTACTTATCACTTGTTATCTTCTAGGTTCTTACAAATAGATTATTTTCTTTAATATCCTTCTGGAAATTTAAGTTTAGCAGTTAACATTCCTTGGTCCCTTCCCCGCATATTTTTTGGGGGGTTTTTTGTTGGGTTTGTTTTTTTTTTACATATTGGCACTACATTTACCCTCTTCTGAAACTTCACTCGTCCATGACAAGTTCTCAGATATAATCACTAGAGGCTCTGCAACTACTTCATCGCGTTCTTTCAGTTCTCTAAGCAAGAGATCCCAGAACATATAACTTTTCTAAATAGGCTCTAACCTGCTTCTTCTCTAAACTACTCTGCATAGCCATGACTCTCAACACGGCTGAGACACACAACATATATATGAATTGTCCCTGTTTTACAGATAGGAAGCTGAGGCACAAAATTTATATTTCTTCCAGATTGTCTGTAGCGGTGTCCAAGTCTCCTGACTCTCAATCCTCTATTTTAGCTGCATGGCCAGGCCACACTGAATCAGTTCAGGTAAATGAAAAAAATTACCAGGAATCCAGGTTTTCCATTTCCCGTGGAAAAACAGAATAAACATGGATTTCCCCACTTACTGGAGGAAAACGTGGGCTGCTCATCTGGGGGGTGGGTGGGTGGGGCTGGCTCTCCGCCACTGCACACACTCCCAGAGGGACAGGGGGGACCCATGCCCCCAGATCTGTGCATGGGGTAGGGGTGGATGCATGTTGCATGCTCGGGCTCCCAGACTGCTGCCATCCCCCAGGGCCACTGCAGCCCACCAGGTGTGACCCAGTGCTGCAGGGCAGAGCGCAGCCACACAGGAAAGCTGCTTGCTGCTGCGAGCTCCACGCTGCCCTGGTGATGCATGCCCTGCATGTGTGGCAGCAGCAGAGGCAGCAGCACAGGGTTGTGTCCCTCACTGCTGCCATGCAGGCAGGGGGCACCTTACCAGGGCAGAGCAGAGCTCACAGCAACATGCAGCTTTCCTGCATGGCCCCACTGTTCCCTGCAATGCCAAGTCACACTTGCTGGACTGCTGAGGACCTGGGGGAGGGCACCAAGGTGAGATCCCAAGCCCACAGCACATAGTGCACAGCACACACCTGCCCTCACTCCAGGCACAGACCTGAGGGCACAGGTTTCCCCTAACCCCCCAGGAGTGCACACCATGGCAGGGAGCCACCCCTCTACCCACCCAAGCCCACAGTGGGCAGGCAGCAGTGGGGAGCCGGGCCCCATTCCACTGCAGCAGCCTCCTCCTCTTGCCAGGGGCAGGGGGCTGCAGACCCAGGTCCCTGGCCCCATAGCCCTGGCAGCTGAGGGCCTCTCCAGCAAGACTGGGTGGGCAGAGACTGTGAGTGGGGTGCAAGGTACATGAGCAGGGCTGAGGAGACAATGGCGGGGAGTGAGGGGCACAAGCAGGGCCAGGGAGACTGTGGGGGGGCCTTTTATTTCAATCATGGATGGGGGGGTGTAACAGGAGGGACATCAGGGTCACCATGCTCTCCCCAGCCACCTCCTTTACCGTGCCAAGCTGCTGACTCGCACCCTCCCATTCTCGTCCGCCACGTCTTTGATCTTATATATTTTTATAGGGAGGCTGCCTTCCTTCTTCTTGGCCACGGTTCTCCTGTCTCGGGCGTTCCGTACACCCCAGCCTTATGGGCTATGCGTGACTCCTACCACCCCTGTACCATGCCCCAAGCCTCGCAGATGTCACGGACGTTGTTCTGTCTCTCTTTCTACGCCCTCTCTGGCACTCGGGCTCTCCACAGCCCTGTCTCTCTCTCTCCGTGCCCTCTCTCCGGGGCCTTCTCAGTAACGCCGCCCCTGTCTCCAGGGCCTTCTCAGTTATGCCGCCCTCCTCTCGGGGCCTTCTCAGTTATGCCGCCCTCTCTCCAGGGCCTTCTCAAGCACTGCCCCCTTTCCTAGGGCTCACCACAATGCTGCCCCCTCCTCCAGGGCTCACCACACCCGCACTGGGGCTTCTCAGCAACGCCCCCTCTCTGGGGCTTCTCAATTGCCCCTCTCTGGGGCTGGGATCTGTTCACCCCAAATGCTGCCCCCTCACTGGCGCTGGGGTCCCCACACTAGTGGGAGTCCCCTGTGAGGCCTCCTCCAACCCCTAATAGCCTCACCGAAACCACCGGTGTAACAAATAGCGAACACAAACGCAAGCCCCTGGGCTATAACGTAAACATGCACTGCCCGGCTATAACTATGCTCAGGCCTACCGGGGGTGCTCCATCCCGCTGCAGTGACAGACGCTGCTTCGGCATCTGGCTTCTCTTCTCTTCTCTTCTCTTCTCTTCTCTTCTCTTCTTCCCTAACCGAGAGCTCCTTCTACTCTGACTGCTGGTAGGGAACTGCCTCCTGGCCTCCTGCCTGTGCTTTATATAGGAGCCAGGCCCTGCCCCTTCTTGTCAGCTGGCTAGGCAGGTGTGAGCCATTAGTTCCCTTTGGTTACCTCAGCAACCAGCACCTGCAGGGTTATCTCGGCTCTCCAAGTAGCAGGCACCCTAGTGCCCTGCTACAGGGGGGTTATCAGAGAATTTGCAATTTATCACAGAATTTGTGATTTTTTTTTTTTTTATCAGGGAAAACCAGGATCCCTGAAAAAATCACTAATGACAAGGTAATATAAGACAATGGAAGAAGGTTTTAACAATAAATCTGAAAGTTGGGAGGGAAAACATTTGGTGGCAAAAAGAAAGAGCTTGTTCCATGGTTAGAGGGCACCCTAAAAGATGTAATGTCAGAAAAAAGGAAAGAGAACTGGGTTGACAGCAAGAGATCAGAACAACTACACAAGCAAACCTCTAGAAATAAGGAACACCTGAAGTCATCAAAGAGCTGACTTCAGCAATTCCTTTTCAAACTTTTACAACCACATCTAACAAGTGATCAGCCCTCTTATGTCACTTGCCATGTATAGAAAACACCTCTTATCATTGATGGGTCTAGGATTTTAAAAAGGGGTAGTGCAGATGGTTTGATGCCTTAAAACACAACACACATTCTTCTCCCATTAAAAATTAAATCAGGAGTTTTACTAATCTACTAGGGGCTTAGAGCTTTATTATTCAGTTTAAGATCAAAGCAAAAACAAGTATATCTTTACTAAATGTACATTCATTTGCTATATCAGGTATAAAAACACAGCAAACTAGACAAAAATAATCAAAAGACGTTGTTTCATTAGTCCTGCAGACATTAGACTTAAATGTACATCTCTTTTTTCAGACTAATAAAGCAAAATCTAGCCTTCTTTAGCACTTGACAATGCTTTAATGCTTCACTGAAAGTTATTTCCATATCTGCGTTAATGTGTTTAGAGTTAAAAAAAAGTCTGCAAGGATGTAAAATAGGAGCTACATTACCAAGAGCAACTAACAGATAGCAGAATTGCAGAAGAAAGGATAGCTTGATTAGTGGAACATCAAGGCCATTGAAAAGGAGAGAGGGTCATTAACACCTGTGGAATGAAGAGTTTGGAAGGAATCAGGTAGATTGTAAAGAACCATGAAGTCAATTAATTCCCACACTGTTGCCTGAACATATATGCTGCTGCCACTGCCAGGCAGTTGGTTTTAAATTTTGAGTGGAGCTGGAATCAAACTGGGGGGAGGGAGAAGGTGCAACTGCACCACTGCATTCCATCCCCCATATGCTCCTGTCTCTCATGTGGTAACGCCACTAAAATGCAAATTTCTTGACATGGATGGTGTAGGAGATGTAATCTAGCAAAAAGTGAAATGTGGAAACCATGACATGGTTGCCCCAGAAAACACAGGAGCAATGACATGCGGATTTGCATTGTGAAATTTTCCCTAGATCAGAGATATACACTGTTAGCAACAGAACTTACCACACAGTAGCCCCTTACTTACTTTCTACATTCTCCTGAAAAAGGGATCACTGAAAAAGCTCATATATTAATTATTGCATGCTAGTAATTATTGATGTTAGTAATAAAAATTGGCACATTTGACATTAGGAAGCATTTCAAAGCTACATGTATGCTACAAGGAAACACCCATGTGATTCTTGGAGGATTTGAGTTAAAAGAACAGGGAAGTTGCTCAAGGTTAATCACTTCTGAAGCAAAGGATTCACTGTTGTGGGGGAGAGGAAAGAAACTATGATCGAATTAGGAAGCCAAGGTCATATCTATTAGATTCTGATGAACCTGAATCTCAAGGAATTTTCTAAGCCTCATCACGGAAAGAGAGGTTGATCTTAGAGGA